GCTCCCGACGCCTCCTACGATGTGTGTTTTTGACCGGCCTTGGCCCACAGCGTTGTGTTCGTCTCACTTGTCTCTGTGTAGGGGGTGCTTCCGTGGTGGAAGCAACATCGGCCTGCAGATGAATAAAACCGCAGACAGATTTGACTTGTGTGCCCTCGCATGTTCCCTCGCTTACGCTGCTAGCAGCAGGCCTAGGGCTCTAAAAACAGCTTCCGACGCCAGCCATGATGTGTGCCTTTGGCTGGCCTTGGCTTACAGCAGTGTGTAGGCCTCGTTTTCTCTCGTGTGGGGATGCGTCTGGGTGGTAAGCTCCAAAGATCGGCAGATGGAGGATGATGCAGACTGACCGCAGTTGACTTAAGTTGTCACTCGCTTGTGCTGCCGAGAGCAGGCAACGGGCTGCAAGGGTCACACCCAACGCCCCCTATGATGTGTGCCTTTAGCTGGCCTTGGTCTACAGTAGTCTCAAGTGCTGCTGTGCTGATTGTCTCTAATGCTGTCTACGTGGTGTGTGTGGTGCTGCTGTGTTGCGTCTTTCAAGAAGATTTCAGGGATTCTCTCCGAGCGTCGCGCCCATCGCCTAATCATCTGTCTCTGTCTTACAAGATGTCTGACAACATCGACGTGCGATTTTTGGGAGATGGGTATCTACCCCGCTTTGCCCCTCTAAAACATAGATGATTATTTGAAGTCTTCCGCGTCTGACACAAAATTGTATTTAGAGTGCGCTGCCTACGATTCGTCATGCTCAACCTACTCAACCCCGAAAATGAGCCGTCCCTTCAGCCCTTGCGGGGTCCAGAATTAGAAGCCGATTGTGACCCTACAAAGAAAAAACTACAAATAAAACCACTTTTTTCGCCCCTCATCGACAGCAAGACCAACTACATTAGTACCACACAAGTACCACACACTTCATCACACCCATCCATGCGGTTCATTCGTTCATTCCTTTATGCCATCATTACGGTCCCGTCCAGACCTGTCTCAGCAGGCCGTTTGTGTGCAGCTGCTGCTGCTGTCGTTGCGCCAACAAACATGTGCAACTTCCGATTGTTGGATAGGAAGTACAACAACGAGCAAAACTTCACGCTTCCCACGAGGCTGCCATCACCATTGAACAAATGATGACAATTATATACTCAGCAAGATATAGGATCTACGCTTGACTAAGTACCGGAGTCAGCCGTTCTCGCAACGTCGCAAGGTTTCATGATTTGATTCGTCACCTGCCAGGGAAACCTTTGAAATCGCTTCGCGTCTGCTCAACGCTCGCTCACTTGGACCACAGCCCAGACTCATGACGAACCCATGGCTGGTGTAGGCCAAGAGAGCAAGCGTCCCTAGACGCAACAACATGTTGCTTCTCTGTTGTCCGATGAACATGTGCATACCCTCTCTGCAGTGTCTAAGTCATGATGAGATGATGCGGCGTAACCAAAGGGATCAAAGGCGCTCCGCAGATTCTTCCACATACCAACATATCGCCGCCTTTGCTGCTGGTGTTCGCCACCGCACTCCCTTTGTTCCACTTCCTTTCTTCTGTCTCATCTTCTTTGTCTTCCGTCGTTCCCGTTCAAGGTGAACTCTCTTGTAATTCCTGGCGTGAACTGGTTGGCCGATGTCAAGGGGTCATATGTCGTGGTTGACAGGCACCTGGCGGTGGCCGTGCAGTAGCTGTGTCTTTTAATCTCGAAAAAGCGATATCGGAGCAAAGCACCGCACCCACACACACCCTAAATGCTGTCACGGACTTGTTGACCCCGCCCTCCCTCTCAGAACACCATGGCTGAGACGACTGGAGCTGATGCTGCGGCAAAGAAGGTAGTGATGGTCACCGGTGGCACTGGTCTGGTGGGCTGTGGTATCAAAGAGTTCGTCGACACCGATCCTGAGGTGGGTCTTTCTCGCCGCAGAAGTCAGCCTGTCCTGTCTCGAACTCTCGGATTCGAAAAAACTGAACAAACTTTGTGGCACAGCAGAGTTTCCAAGCTGCTGCAGTAGGTAGGGCTGAACATGTAGAGAAGCCAACAACCAGGCAGAACACGGCCGAAGAGAAAGCCGCTGTTCATCCCTTCGCTCACGAACTCGCCTCACACGGCGGTGGTTGTTTCTACCACAGCAGCCGTGCGTCGTGGTGCACCCTAGTGGCGGCTGGAAGCGAGAGAAGAGATTATGCATACATACAATACAGAACGAGAGAACTGTTGCGGACCTTCTTTCCAGTGTCAACGTGTTTTTGAGGGAAAAAGTAACTCACAGATTCCCCCCGTTTGAGTGGGATATCACTATTTTTTTTTTCTCCCATCGTTGGACTCTGTCGTCTGCCCCTCTGGCCCCTATCCTCCACTTCTACTAGCTAGACGACACAACCGGGGTCACATAGGAGGGGGGGGCTGGACCCCCTCCTGCGGTTCCTGCCTGAGGTATTGTTATCGCGAGAAGGGTACAGCAATCCCTTCCCTCGCGACGTACGAAGTCGATTAGTCTGTGGTTTAACAACGAGCTTCGTTGCTTTCATTCTTTTAGACCAGGATTTATTTAATGAGAAAAAAACTCACTCTGCCGGGACTCGAACCCATGACCTGGCCCTTGGCAGGCTGCGATGTTACCCTCTAGACCACCGGAGCGACCGGATCTATGTAACCACTGCAGTCGAAAGGGGTTTTTGTTTTTGCTTTTGCTTTTGCTTTTCTTTCTTGCAGGCCCAGAAGAACGAGGAGTACATCTTCCTCAGCAGCAAGGATGGCGACTTGAGGGACATGGAGTCCACCAAGGCTATTTTCGAGAAGTACAAGCCGACCCACGTCATCCACCTCGCCGCCAGGGTGAGTGTGATTAAGAGTCCCAAGCAAAACAACCACAGCAGTAGCATTTGCGTTTGCAAACAAGCACACGAACAGTACCCGTTCGAGATATAATAAAACCACAGGGATGTGCTGTTGTCTTTGCAGTGAGTGGAGGGTGTGAGACAAAGTGTGATCTTTCGCTACACGGGAACTCCCCGAAAAAGATGGAGCATTCCAGATTCTGAAGCGGAGGAGATGAATATTTGTTTTGTGTCAAAGACTCATGAAAGATAAAAAAAAGGACTCAAGCCGGCGGTCGTCGGACAGAACAAAAAAGGGCTCCCGCACAGCACAACCGAAAAGTCGTCCTTCGTCCTTCGAAACTTGGATTGAACTTCGAAATTTCCCGCTTCTCCTCCCTGCTCGAAGAGTAATTGAGGCGTGCCTATTTCGGAATGCGGTGAGGGGACTGTGTAGCGCCGGTATGAATGCGCCCAGAGAATTGACCGGCACTATGCTGGACACCGGCGCTATTCAGCCGAACATAGACATACATACCGGCACTGTACCGAGCACCGGCACTAGACAGAGCCCAACTGCTTGTGTCGCAAAGTTGCGTGCGGACCAACTCCTGGAGCCAGATTCAATTTTGTGATTTTGATGTACAAATCCGTGGCAAAAGACTGGGTAAACTACTCTTAGTTTCTAGTCTAAACCCATAAACCCATGTCACCTCCGGTGCCAGCGGTTTTATGGATGCTGTAGGTGGATAAATTGCTCTCTACTCTGGGTTCATTCCGCGGGCGTGGTCCATCAGAAAATCGCCGCCGAGCTGCGCGCTATCATGGGGGCGTTTCTACGCAGCAAGGGTGTGGACAAACGGAGGGGGGGGGGGGGGGGGGGGGG